TAATGATGATGATGAAATTTTTAATTGAGTTTGTTCATTTTTATTATTTAATAATTGAATTTCATTACGAAGTTCATTAATAACAATTGTTTGTTCATTTATTTCAACTTCTTGTAAATCAATTTTTTCATTTAAACTTAAACTAATAGAAAAGAAAAATAAATTCTTAGAAAAAGAAAAACAAGTAAAATTTTTTGATTTACTTTTCATTAATTAATCTTGTATTTTCACGTTTTAATTTTGTTATTTCATTCCAAACATTATCATCATCTTCTTGTTTAAATATTTTTTTATTTATACCTATTTGTTTTCTTTGTCGTTGATTATGACATACAGAACAACCAGATCTAGTTTTTCTTATAGCTTTACCATAAAAATAATCATTTTTTGTTTGTTTTTGTATTAATTCATCGTCAGTATAAGATTGTAATTCATCTTTAAGTGAACGATATTGTTTTTGTAAATGTTTAAGACGTAACCAACGTTTATCATGAACTTTTTTTAATGTAGATATTTGTTCATCACGTTGAACAAGTAATTGTTGAACATTTTCTAAACGATCTGTTAATGTATGAATTTTTGTTTTTAAATATGTAATATCTAATGGAGGTGATAATGTATTATCACGAACTGGAGGAGATGTACAACGTTTTTTTGGAGATGAAGATCGATTTAATCTAAAATATGAATTAAAAATTCATTATTAATTTAATATTAATTTTACTTACTTTCTAGTGGATAAATTTTGTCCAATATCTTCACTACAACTTTTCCAACGATTATCATGAGATAATTGACCCTAGAGAAAAGAAAATGGATAGAAGATATTGATCTATTGACTAATGAGAAAAAAAGAATATTTACTGATGTTAATTTATCTCGTACTTGACGAAGAGTTAATTTTAAATGTTTAATTTCATTATCACGATTACGTAAAGTCTAAAAATAAATAATATTCATAATTTAAATTGATTGATTGACACATGTTCCTTTATTAACTGTGACAATCATCAGCATTACAATCTTTAAATAAGTAAAGAAATTATTTCGAACAGACGATTGTTCATTATAACTATAGTCTAAAGCAAGTATATTGTACAACTAGTATGTCATTAATTGTACGAAATATTATTCAATATTTCACATAGTTTACTCATGTTTTACATTATAATCTTGCAAGATTTCATCTCGAAACTTTATTCAGAAAGTTACACATTATGTTTTTTTCATAGAAAAATCTAGTGAGTGTAAATATCAAATCGCGGTTTTGCGGCTTTCTCGTACATATTAATGAGAGTCATAATTCAATGAGTATATTTTCCCTAGTAACAAGCGGAAAAGATAGTTTCTTAACAATGGGAGAAGGTATTGAACAGTAATATAACAACAAGATTTCGACTATACTAGAAAATTTCGAAGTCTTTCTCGAAATTTGAATAACTGGAAAATGTCAGTGAATGTAAATATATATTCAACATGTCATGGATGATGGTTAGTGATGTATTGGTTTACCAAAGTAATAAAAATAGAATACGAAAATGAAAAATAACGAACGAATAGCAACAAAGCAAACAAAAAAATAGAACGCCAGTAAAATATAGAAGAAAAAAAAA